CTTTGAGTTTGTAATTATTGTAAGATTCCACTGTCTGGTTATTCGCATAAGAGACTTTGATCCAAAAAAATTAGTTATTGATAATGGAAAAAAAATACAAAACAGACAAACAACTAAGACCAAAAATAGAAGTTTGGCAGACAGTTCGGTCCCATGTTTGAATTTTGATATATCGAACGTGGACTATTGGAGCTCTGCGAGGGAATATGATATGTTTACTAAACTACAAAGTGCATCTGTTTTCTTCTTGCTAACATTTGAATAAAAAATAAACTACTTCTGCACGATCTTGAAAAAAAATCTTTTTAAAAGTGTTTCCATCTTTATCATGCAGTCCCTCTTGGCTCCATTCAAGAGCTTCCTGCTGAATCGTGCAGTGAGATCAAGGCCAGTGAAGGAAATGAGATGGTTAACGGAGATTACTGGATATACTCTGATGGGAATGATCAGACAATCCTGGCTCGCTGTGAAGGTACGACATGTTAATTTATTGGTTACGTAGCTCAAAATAAATTGTATCCCCTCCATAAAGATAATTAAGGGATTAATCGATTAATCTATCAACCAATTAATTTTGGGGCTAGCAGTCTTGTTGATTTATAGTTTCGTTGTCTCCAAAAGGTGTTTTATTTATTATTAATTATTATTATTACTTATTACTTATTTATTTATTTATTTTTAGTTTTCTTTTTTTATTTCTGATGCCTATCATTGAAATACATGTTAGAGAACTGGCACAAGATAAACACAGATCCTGTTTGCTTTGGAGCACGAGATAACCAGCATGGTGCCTTTGACATCACAAAGAGTGGACTCCTCAAGACAATGAAGCTCGTCCACAAGTCGGGTTCGATCAAATGCTTCCCAAATAGCAAATCCTACTGGGGCTGCAGAAACAAGCTAGCGTATGGCAAAAACGGCCTACTGACTATCATTACCAATGCAAAGAAAGAAGCCATTCTGCCACCTGCTGGAGACTTGAAAGCAAACGCTGAATGTAACAACAAAAAATTGTTTTACAGGCTTAATGGAACTACCCACACATCTCCAGAGCTCGTTTTCGGCGATCTTCCTAATAAGGTGTCAGTGTCACGCAATCAGGTGTTGCAGATATGGTACGGACAGGATTGGATCGATTGTAGAGAACGCAACAACAACGGAATAACATGTGTTGATGTGTATGCGTGGTACGCTTAAAATCACATTAGTCTCTGACTTATCTGGAACAGATAAGGTATTAAAATGACGTAAGTTTAATTTCAAGGAAGGCTCTCAAAATATTAACGTAATCACGGTTCATATTTATCTTCTCTTGTATTAAATCTTGTGACTGTGAAAAAACTCAGGAAGAGATTCACTGAATGAAATTGTCAGTTTAGTAGAAATGTTGAAGTAGCGTCACGCATTTAGCAAAGCGTCTTTAAATGTGCTGCCATTTTTCCTAATTTTTTTTTTTTTTATTGCTGGTTCATAATAGTAATTAACATCCAGGCTGTCATGAAAAGTTTGTACTCTTGACAACTTCTTAAAAAAAAGTATTATCCAAACTACATGTATGACACATAAATTATAAATAGCTATATTATCATATATAGCCCATATATAGCCCGTACGGGCCTGCACGCAATTTTCTTGGAAAGTCATAAGAATAAAGGTCCCGTATGAGGGCCGTACGAGTCGAAGTGATAGGGCCGGAAAAACACGTACCGCTCTACTAGAAATGCGTACGGCCCCACAAGCAACGCGTTCGGCAAAATCGATACAAGTTAATAACAAAAACAATTTTTTTTGCTGTAAAAATGAATGATGAAAGTCAACATTTCTGAAACATTCCGAGAACAAATTTTGCTATCCAGGCGAACAGTCCGATGCAAAACTACTTCGGTCGCCAACTCACTGCGAAGGCACAGAAAGAAAGTCAACACTCTTCATAAATGAAGAAGTTCACAACTTTCTCAGAAGCCAACAACAAGCAAACAGGCGGTCAAGAAAACAACTTTTTCTGGATGAACTGCCCGACAATTGACCTTTGTAATAAGCAAACAGACTCTTGAGGCGAAACTTCTTTCAGTGGAAA